AAGGACAAGGGCAAATTTGATCGGAACTACGTACAGGGTGACTGATGATCTGTTTAGCTTTGCAGTTGTACTTTTTCGCGCTTATTTTAGTTTAGTTTATGTAGCGTTTCGAAAGAAAGTACAGTGTATTTTATACAGGGTGTCTCGAAAGCAGTCAAATAAATATATATTAACAACTGTGTAGAACTTTCGAGGGGAACTATAAGAAAAGGAATAGGGGATTGTAATATAAAATTACAATATAGGTCCATAATATTATTTTGGCTCCTTTTACTTTCTATATAGTAGAAGTTCCTTATTCACGTTTTCATTATTCGCGGGTGAAAAAATTGCAACCCAGTTCCTGTATTCGCGGCTAAAAATTTCATTATTCGCGGATGCAATCGGTAAACAGAAAAGGATTCGGTGTCATTTATTAAGGGGGTTCACCACAATAGACCGCTCGCGCCTAATGTGAATTTTTCCGAAACCAGGTTTCTATTATAAACATTGTGATTTAACACTGCGCGATAAACATGTGATTTTTTGTATGGTAACAGACAAAGGTTCACACTAACTCGGCACGTTTTTAGTTTTCAATAATATGGTCATTAAAAGCTTTTACAAATACGTAAAGTTGATGCTTCTTGTAGGACACGTATTTTTAATAGAAATAAAAAAAATTAAAAAATGGCCTTCGACAGGCTTTAGAAAAAAGCTTTGTCTATCTTACTACAAAATTTCAAACCTCTATTCCAAACATTAAACTCATGATATCTAGAACCGATAAGAATGTTTTTACTTTACGGCGCGTGTACTACTGAATCCCCTTCATGTATGGTCCGGCATCTTTTGAGTATGTACAGTTGGTACATGCCGAGGCAGCATTTATAAAAGATGTAATCGATTGAATTAATTTCAAAATTCAAAACAAGAAAAAAACACTAATTTTTTTAAACCCTTGCCTAAAGCTTATAAACCTAAATAACGATTAATTTTAATTGCGAATTTCTCAATAAATTGATTTTATTCTGATACATATTGGTTTTATTTTGGAACCGTAAAACGTATCCCCTATGATTCCATATTAATTACCATTCCATATCCACAGTTTCTGTATTCGCGACGTATTTATGGAACGTATACCCCGCGAATAGAGCTTTTACTGTATGGAAAATATGTTTATTTGAGTTGCGTACATGGTTTAATAAACTTTATACATACATATATGTACTTGCATATTATTATTACAAAAGCGTAGCTTGGCATTGGAAAATTGAGACTTACTTCTAATGAAAATTATAAATATTATCTACACCGTTACTTCCTACTATTATTGTACTACATAACAGTCGTATTGCAGCCAACCGTTAATTAATGCAATACTTTGCATTACTCGTATTAATTTCATTCATTATATAGTTCTTATTATGTCATTAATAAGTATTTTGACTAATAACGGTGTTCTTTTATCTACAAAAACATATCTTAACACGTACTCGATTCTAATTATTATATTATCTAGATATTATAAAGACATTGAGAGTTACCTTTGAATGTGCCGATTTCTTTTTGTTCTCATTCTTATCTTTACACTTTTGTCTTATTATTAATATTATAAACCTATATACACCAGCAACAGATCTTAATAAGTCAATTAATTTCAAAGATTACTATCTGTAATATTTTTCAAAGGTCCAAACATCGTTTCAGTTAATATCCTTGTGTATAACAATCAGGAAGTCCTTACGGTTGGTTCATATTAACTACTTCCTTAATATAATATATAAAGGAGTCTTTCATAGTTTTATAAAAGACCTAGTTCAAGAATATTCGTCTCCAAATGCTCCAATCCAAGATCACCAGTGATAGTATCACACGGAGGCATACAAGACGCCGCTAGTGTGAAGTTTCTTAATAATATAAGCACAACACTCACTTCGTGAGGGTTGTCTCTCCCTACCGTAACCGTATGAATGTAAGCAATTAAACAAAATTAATAGTTCTTCTTTAATAAGAACTCCCATTATGGTTTTAGTCAAAAATTTATCGAAACCACTAGACGCGGATTTCGATTTCGATCTTGTTAGACCTCAGCAGCGCCCTACAGACAGTCTCACCAAACCTTTAAACCACCTAAAAAATGAGTATATACTTTTGAGTTGTAACAAAAATAAATGCCGAGCTTGCAGGAAGTGATAATAGACCACTATAAAACATGAAAATTAAGTAAATGTTTGTATATCCGAAAATTCATCTTTTTCGAGAAAAACCTAGTTGAAAGTACTACTAAATTCAATTCCGGCCCTGTTAGAGAAATGCAGGCCGCAACGCTGCATTCAATCAGCTGATAATTACTAGCATCAGTAGAGTATTGGTTATTTTTTTTTACTTATGTGTTGTTTATTTATTGTTATATTCACTATTACTGCGACGCAAATTCGCATGCCGTACATTCTACGCTATTTCAAGAAATGTTTTCGGTAAATGTGTTGATTAAAATTATGTTTATCGTAATCGTTCGATTATCGGTAATGTTTACATTCTCCATCTATGTAGCTATAGAGTTTTTATCGCACTACGCTTTTCGGTAGACACCTATGTTGTCAATTCACACCCAGGGCCGGCTTCGAACTGTAAATTATTGTGATTTTTTTTCATTTGTAAGGCAAGGTCTAACTAGGGTATCAGCTTGTGTAATTGATACCACGATTGACCTTACATACGTCTTCGGCACGCAAACCATATTTACAAGAACGAAGTTCTTGGTCAACGATGAGCTGATGAGATCTATAATATCGAAATTGTGAACCGCGTACGCTGATTTCTATGAATTTCTCATATTCTACATTCTGCTTCAATATTATATAGTTCTTCTTTTGCCTGCTATAAAATCCTTAACGTTAGTTTCAAATTCTAACTTGGTATAATGCAAAATTTAATAAATTAAACTGGTAGCTCATTATTAGCAACTCCCACCGTTATGCATGTGCTCTAAGCTACCATACTAGTCTAGAATCACGAAATCTCATTAACTATATGCAAACAAAGATATAAATTCAATTAACTAATCCCACCCAGCAATTAAGAGCATATTTTGTAATACCAAATATATAAACAATTAAGTCAATGTTACAACTTAAGATTATGTTGAAACGTTTTTATCTTACGTTAATGACTTCGAACAAGAGAAAGCATTTTGACGATTTCACTTTTTCGAAAATTATGTAACCCTCTTAAGAAATATTTTAAATTTGAGTAAATGCAAAATCAATAGTATGTATTGCTACAATATATTACTGCACATACATGTATACATTGTACATATCTATACTGAAGCATTTAAGTAAATAAAATTTTCTACAAACTTACAAGTCTCATGTCAGTATGCTTCGCACTAGTGAGGGATATTCAGGGGTTAAAAGAAGATAAACTCCTCCTTCTCAGATCCTAAAATAAAAAGAAAGAAGAAAAATTAGTCTAATGCAGGTATGTCCCATTCCCAATCGGATTTTGATGATTGGGAAATCAATTCTGATAGATTATAACATGATTAATAAGAATAAGAAAGAATTTCTCCAATAGTACGTGAAATAATGAAGTTGTGATTAAAAGTTTAAAGAATTCGTATTTTTTAGTGAGAAGTATATTGAAATTATATCAAAATGAATATAATCCATACTTTTTATGAATAGAAGAAAATAATCAATTTTTTCAATGAAGAGTGACATAAAATACTAAACAAATTTCACCAATTAATGTGTTGAACTTGATAGTAAATTAATCGCTGAAACTTCTTTTACTTATTTTATTCTATGTTGTTAAATATGTTCCATAATACCTACATTCTCTAAAATTTGAAAATATGTCTGGCAACAAAAAAAAAAACATTTAGAAATTAATAATTGCCGCTAGTTTTACCAGTTGTTAAAAGTGGTTTTAGTTGTTGCTATTTCTTATGATATATCACCATTTAACTGTCAATATTATGCTTGGGAATGTGGAGCTAAATCATTTTGTTTTGTTATCTATAATCTACAGTTTAATATCTACATATGTGCCATCACCATCATGATATGGTCGTCAGTCCTAAGACTGGTTGGACACGCATCTCCACTCTTTCCTATCCTAAGCTAAACTTCGCATTTCCCTAAAACTAGAACAACTCATATCCTTAACTATTTGCGAACAGTAATCTAATCTAGGTCTACCTCTACTCTTCTTAAGTCCTGTTTCTGCCTCTAATATGTCTCTGATTAGCCTTTCATGGCTAAGAAGGTGTTCTATCAACCTATCTCGCCTATTTTTTATTAACTTCCATAAAGTCCTCTGTTCTCCTTTCTAATATCTCTTCACCTCTAACCTTCTCTATTCACGGTCGGTTCGACTACGGGTCCGTCTGCCTTGGTCAAGTTTTTCTGTGGTTTCCTTGAATCACTCAGACAAATGCTGGGGCAGTTATATTCCACAGATAATTTTTCATTCTCTTCTGTCTTCATTTCGTCCGTCTCATCTTTCTCACCCGAACTACTACCCATCCATTCCCACGATTCCTGAAAGGAGGCTGAAGAGGGCCTTCCGCCCTACCTTCCGGCGAAGTCCGGAGGGACTGACCGCCCACTAGCATTAGTGGCTGATGGGAAAGGAACCCCAAAAGTTTTTTTTTTCCTTGCTAGAAGCTAGTAGTGCAATATCATCTACAAATCTAAACGTACTAATCTCTTGACCCTCTACATTTGTACTGTCTTTTTGATCACGTCTTCGATGTATAGATCAAAAAGTAGCAATGACAGTGTGCATCCCTGTCTGACTCCCTTCCTAACATTTACTTCTCTACGTTCCTGCCCCAGCTGTATAACTGCTTGTTGCTCTTTATACAAACTAAGCGTCACTCTATCTCTGTAACTCATCTCTATATTTAGATGGCACGCTTTTATAATAAGTACAAAATTATAATAAAGCAAATATTTTCTTCTCTTCTAAAGATTAAAAACGTGAGCATTCGCGTGAGCCGCCACTAAACGCACATAATGGTCCATCCTCCTGAACTTTTGCAGGAGTCTTTGAACCAATTTTACATTCCTAATCAGTTGCAGCATTTCCTGTATGGACGAGAAAGAAGACCAACAGCGTTCAGAAATCCATACAAATCTGGACCCATCAATCAATATCACCGAACCAAATGATTTCTCATCTACTAGCAATGAAGTAACGCCTTCATCTTCCGTTTCTCAATCGATAATCACAGAAAATACATATGTCGAAACCACTTCAACCTTGTCCGTTCAAAGAGGACAACATTTGGGCAACTTGTCCCAATTACCCGTTCGTATACTTTACGAACGATTAGGCGAAAATGGTACCAGCGATAGCAATAGTGCCATTCTATTCCTGTCAAAGAATGGAAAAAAGACGATGATGGATGAGAACGGTGACGGATCAAATAAAAAGCGTGTCATGTCGACATCCGCGGAAGCAGGCGGGCCGATGACGTTGTACGTTCGAGACAAGAAAACAAAAGAAGAACAAGGTTCCGTCGGTGGCACGCTAGATGTAGATTCTGAACCTGTTACTGTTATGCAAGAAGCAGCAGCAGCCGCACGCCGTCATTCGGTCGTTGTTCCGCTGTTGAAAGCGAAAGCAGCGAATGACATGGAGGTTAACGGATCTGGTGCAACAATTACAGCAGATGAAGAAGGAAAAGGAGGAGATATACGACGTAACATATCGACTATTGATATCGACACAGTAGTCGATGGAGGACTGCCGAGTTTATCAAAAGACAATGTTGATAATGGTGATAATCGCTTTCTGTTCTACGCACTTCTAGCACTTACAGGTAAAAATAAAATTAATGAAATCAGCTTTGGAAGCAGGTACAAACTGTTGACAACTGTGGTATTTTGGTTATTTTTGAATTTCTTACACATCACCTCAAAAGTAGGTACGTTTTTATTGTGGAAAGCAGTGATGAGCAAAACTGGTCTTGGTCTTACAATCCCAGTCTTGGTCTTTCGAAAATGCAGAACCAAGATCAAAACTGCCTTTATATTAGGAAGACCAAAACCAAGACCAAAATCAAACAAACAAGACCAATACTAAAACCAATACCGAATGAAAACGACCAAGACTGAATCCAAGACCGAATGAACAATACCAAGACTAAACCCAAAATCGAATATACAAGACCAAATACGTGAGACTAAATGAAAAATTATTACATACATTCAGTGGATTTCTGAAATTTCTATCATCATCATAAGGTAGTCAGTCCTAAGACTGGTTTGACACGTACCTCCACCCTTTCCTATCCTGAGCTAATATTCGTATTTTCCTAAAACTAAAACAACTCAGATCCTTAACTAGTTGCGAACAATAATTTAATCTAGGTCAACCTCTACCCCTCCTAATTCCTGTTTCTGCCTCTAATATGTCTCTGAATAGACCTTCATACCTGAGAAGGTGTCCTACCAACCTATCTCGCCTATTTCTTACTGACTTCCATAAAGTCCTCTATTCTTCTACTCTCTCTAATACCTCCTCATTTCTAACCTTCTTTATCCACGGTATCCTCATCATTCGCCTGTAACACCAAATTTCGAAAGATTCCAACCTTTTCTTTCCCGCCGCGCCCACTGTACATGTTTCGCACCCGTACAGCGCCGCGCTCCAAATATAGACCTTTTTCGAATTTCTAAAGTAATCGTTTGCAAGCATATAAGTTACTTCTTTTTATTGAAGGCGACTCGACCATGCGCTACCCTCTACTTTATATACCTACTACTCCTTACGTCCTGACTGATCTGGCTTTCTAGATACCTAAAATCGGCCACTTCTTCTAATTTTTCGTCTCCTATCTTTATATTCGCTGTTTCCCTACCTTTTCTTCCCTTGCACACCAGTATTTTTGTTTTATTTTTATTTATTTTCATACAGTACTGTTTCGTCAGTATCGCTTCCATTTTATTTAATGCTATCTCTAACTCCTCCTTTCTAGATGCTAATACTACTACAGAAATTTCTATATTATATTTTTTATGATTGCAATAAAATAGAGTATTTTATTAGTTAATTATTAATTGTGAGTTAATTGTAATTCTTAATTTGTATACAGTAATAATCTTTATAATAATAGAAAAAAATGTGCTTAGACAAATTATTATAAAATTCGTATCAAATTAAATGAGGAAGACAAGGGCTTAACACGCAAGTGAAAGATCAAGGCCAAGACCAAAGCTGGGACAGTGTTGGTCTTAATCATGCTTTGCTCATCACTAATAAATTTGGTGTTCATAAAAAAAATTTAGAAATACCAACGATTTGGTACACTGTAGGACAGGTTAATACACGTTTGCTAATGGAGATGGCGCACATGTAAACAATTAAATTAGCTTAGAAAAACTGCGAAAATCAAAAAAAATACAAAATACATTCAAGTAACACAAACAAAGAAATTCAGAATGAATATTGCTTCAAAATTTACATCATCGGGTACATTCATCACTTTTACGATTTTGTTATCCATGTTTTGTTTTCTGTTTTATTAAATGTATGGATATCAACCTGAAGTATTTGAATATTTTTTTAACTCACTTTAAGGAACGAAGAAAAATAAAATAAAGAAACGTGGAGAAAACAAATGTAATTTACATTTAAATCAGTCGCTTGGTGTGGCACGTGTTAGCGTTATTGGATAAGGGTTAAACTCTGCAGATTTGTTTTTTTATACAATGTGAACATATTTTTGGGGTGAGATCTAATAAATCCAAAAATGGCCAAAATTGTCGATCGACAATAGATGGAATTTTTTACATATGATTATAGTTTCACGTCAGTGAAATTAACCCGGATATGAAAAATATGTTCATTTTTGAAAATCTATCGTATTGAAAATAACTGATATGAATATTAGTATAATCTTAACAACAGCATGGAAATTGTTTATTAACTTTTAATACATAATATAGCTTAACATATCAAACTGAATTTCACCTAAAACTGGTTTTAATCGTAATGTAATACCAAGATAACCCAGCAGACTATTCAAAAATGCAATAAAACTTGGGATTATCTTTGGGTAGCAAGGTAAATTTTTAACATAAAACTTTAAAAGCGGAATTTGTATTACAAGACGATTGTAGTTAATGTGAATTGAAAGAACTTACCACTCCTATGTTAGCTGGATTTGTTTCCAGGACGGTCCAGTTTTTAAATTTTATCACATATGATAATTCAGGTACAACTTCTTTCAATTTTTAAACATTTCCAAAGTGATTTTTACATGATAAATTATCAAATACTTAAATGACTAATTTTTTTTCAAATCGGAATATTTCTTCGTACCTTTTCGATCTGTTTAGTTGCAATCGAATCAAATGTCATCGACGCGTCGACCAAGGAAACAATATTAGTTTCTTATTATACAAAACCCTTGAAGTCTCAATGCAATTCACACGGGACCGGCTTTTTTAAATAGTATTATTTAAATTAAATTATTGTTGTAATAATCCGTTCATATTTTGAGGTCTTCATGATCAACTTTTCAATATGATGACTACTAAATATCATTAATAAATATTAACAACTATAAAGATCGAAATTCACCCAATTTGTTTTCAATTCAAATATGTATGTCGTCTACTAAATTTTTCATACTTTAAACGAAAAATTGATATAATAGGAACAATTCGTACGTATTCGATTTGGATACATTTTCCAGTAGAAACAGTAACAACTGTTTGAGATGTATATCTCTTATCGTCAACAGAAAAATAATTATAGGTAAAATTTCGAAATTTTGTTTATAAAAATCACTTATTAAATAAATGTAATGGCAGATTTTGCTTGAAAAGCACGATTTATTATATAGAATTGTACTACTAACAATTTCAAACATCGATCCCACTATTTGCACTGAAATCGTACCTGTCTATAAACGAATAGCAAATTAAACCAATGTCAAGTGGTGTTGAAATATCCACAATAAATTATTGACGTTCACTCAGTCCTGAATGTTGCCTATCATTATAGTATCTCGTAACAATCACAATTATCAAGATCATCGAAAAGGTTCTAGTTCACGAGCTGCAGTTAATAAAATTATTTTTTCACTTACAATACCAAAATACAACGTGAAATTATACAACACGCTACTGAAGTGAAACTTCTTCAAACGCTCAAACATACGGGATAGGGGTTAAGGAATTGGTTTAATGGTATTATTTGTACACTATGCTTCGCAAGGATGCAATACTGATAGTAAATATACTATAGAATGTCTTTATATACAACAATCAACTTTTTTGTCATTAGACAATATACAAACCGGCTGATACCGCCGCAACCACTATGTCCCTGCATTTTAAGTCTGTAATATCTTCGAAAATATTCATTTAAATTACATGCTGTGAAGGGCCATATTGATCTATATTAAATACACAATGTATTTAAAAGTATTTAATTGGATAAGGATTAATGCTGTATCGCTTAAAATCGCTTGGTAAATATGCCATTATTTCTCATAAAAAGTAAAGAATTAAAAATGGTTATTGTGGGTTAACCCTAAGAAATAGACATATACCATTACGGACTTTTTTGTAGACCTTTTTAAGGTATTCAATACTGTAGTATATTATTTTGATCTATCTCGTAGGGTTCAGCCAGCGTTTGCAATGTAAGCGCAAAAAATGTGTTTATTTACGACATCACATTAGAAACCTCTAAAATTATCAGTGTTTCCCTACTATATTATGCATGTATTATACATATAAACCTT